CACAAAGCACATACCTTGACAAAGTTTTGAAGAAGTTCAAAATGGATCAGGCGAAGAAAGGATTCTTGCCTGTGTTACAAGGTGTGAAGTTGAGTAAGACTCAATGCCCGACCACTACAGAAGATAGAGAGAAAATGAAAGATGTTCCCTATGCTTCAGCCATAGGCTCTATCATGTATGCAATGCTGTGTACCAGACCTGATGTGTGCCTTGCTATAAGTCTAGCAGGGAGGTACCAAAGTAATCCAGGAGTGGATCACTGGACAGCGGTCAAGAACATCCTGAAGTACTTCGAAAGGACTAAGGATATGTTTCTCGTATATGGAGGTGACAAAGAGCTCATCGTAAATGGTTACGTTGATGCAAGCTTTGACACTGATCCGAACGATTCTAAATCACAAACCGGATACGTGGTTACATTGAACGGTGGAGCTGTCAGTTGGTGCAGTTCTAAACAAAGCGTTGTGGCGGGATCTACATGTGAAGCGGAGTACATAGCTGCTTCAGAAGCAGCAAACGAAGGAGTCTGGATGAAGGAGTTCATATCCAATCTAGGTGTCATACCTAGTCCATCGGGTCCAATGAAAATCTTTTGGGACAATACTGGTGCAATTGCCTTGGCGAAGGAATCCAGATTTCACAAGAGAACCAAGCACATCAAGAGACGCTTCAATTCCATTCGAGATTTAGTCCAAGTGGGAGACATAGAAATTTGCAAGATACATACGGATCTGAATGTTGCAGACCCCCTGACTAAGCCTCTTCCACGAGCAAAACATGATCAGCACCAAGGCTCCGTGGGTGTTAGAATCATTACTGTGTAATCTCGATTATTGACTCTAGTGCAAGTGGGAGACTGAAGGAAATATGCCCTAGAGGCAATAATAAATTTATTATTTATTTCCTTATATCATGATAAATGTTTATTATTCATGCTAGAATTGTATTAACCGGAAACATAATACATGTGTGAATACATAGACAAACAGAGTGTCACTAGTATGCCTCTACTTGACTAGCTCATTGATTAAAGATGGTTAAGTTTCCTAGCCATTGACAAGGGTTGTCATTTGGTTAACGGGATCACATCATTAGGAGAATGATGTGATTGACATGACCCATTCCGTTAGCTTAGCACCCGATCGTTTAGTATGTTGCTATTTCTTTCTTCATGACTTATACATGTTCCTATGACTATGAGATTATGCAACTCCTGTTTGCCGAAGGAACACTTTGTGTGCTACCAAACATCACAACGTAACTGAGTGATTATAAAGGAGCTCTACAGGTGTCTCCGAAGGTACATGTTGGGTTGGCGTATTTTGAGATTAGGATTTGTCACTCCAATTGTCGGAGAGGTATCTCTGGGCCCTCTCGGTAATGCACATCACTTAAGCCTTGCAAGCAATGCAACTAATGAGTTAGTTGCGAGATGATGTATTACGGAACGAGTAAAGAGACTTGCCGGTAACGAGATTGAACTAGGTATTGAGATACCGACGATCGAATCTTGGGCAAGTAACATGCCGATGACAAAGGGAACAACGTATGTTGTTATGCGGTCTGACCGATAAAGATCTTCGTAGAATATGTGGGAGCCAATATGAGCATCCAGGTTCCGCTATTGGTTATTGACCGGAGACGTATCTCGGTCATGTCTACATTGTTCTCGAACCCGTAGGGTCCGCACGCTTAACGTTACGATGACAGTTTCATTATGAGTTTATATGTTTTGATGTACCGAAGGTTGTTCGGAGTCCCGGATGTGATCACGGACATGACGAGGAGTCTCGAAATGGTTGAGGCATAAAGATTGATATATTGGAAGCCTATATTTGGATATCTGAATCGTTCCGGGTGAAATCAGGATTTTACCGGAGTACCGGGGCGTTACCGAACCCCCCCCGGGGGGGTTAATGGGCCTACATGGGCCCTAAGGGAGAAGAGGAGGGGCGGCCAGGGCAGGCCGCACGCCCCCTCCCCCCTAGTCCGAATAGGACAAGGAAGGGGGGGGGGCGGGGCCCCCCTTTCCTTCTCCAACAAGGCAAGAGGGGGGAGTCCTACTCTCGGTGGGAGTAGGACTCCTCCAGGCGCAACCCTAGGGGCCGGCCGCACCTCCCCCTCCCTCCTTTATATACGGGGGCAAGGGGGCACCCCAAGACACACAAGTTGATCTTCGTGATCGTTCCTTAGCCGTGTGCGGTGCCCCCTTCCACCATATTCCACCTCGGTCATATCGTAGCGGTGCTTAGGCGAAGCCCTGGGACGGTAGAACATCAAGATCGTCACCACGCCGTCGTGCTGACGGAACTCATCCCCGACACTTTGCTGGATCGGAGTCCGGGGATCGTCATCGACCTGAACGTGTGCAAGAACTCGGAGGTGCCGTAGTTTCGGTGCTTGATCGTTCGGGCCGTGAAGACGTACGACTACATCAACCGCGTTGTTATAATGCTTCCGCTATCGGTCTATGATGGTACGTAGACAACACTCTTCCCTCTCGTTGCTATGCATCACCATGATCTTGCGTGTGCGTAGGAAATTTTTTGAAATTACTACGTTCCCCAACAACATTATGGTGTGGCATGAAACCCTTGTAAAGCAGGTGGGTGTGAAGGATTTTCCGGTCAGAGTAAGACTTCGTATTCCCACATTTAGGGCATGGACAACACATAAAACCATTATGCTTGTTTGCCTCAGCCACATCGAGAAAATTATGCACGCCCATAATGTACTCGGAGGTGTGTCTGTCACTGTACATCCATTGCCGGTTCATCTGCGTGCATTATATATAATTATGTGTGTCAAAAGTAAGAAAATCAGACAAGTATCTATCTAAAGTAAGAAAATCAGACAAGTATCTATCTAAAGTAAGAAAATCAGAAAGAAGATAAGAACAAGAGGCTCACCATGGTGGTGCCGGCGACGAGATCGGCGCGGGCGATCGACGGCAGTGAAAACGGGGACGAGGTGTGACGGACCGCTAAACCTAGACAAATCTCGGGAAAAATGGAGCTCCGAGGTCGAGCTTCGAGAGGAGAAAGCTTCACTAGTGTGGCTCGGGCATTTCATCGAACACCTCGTGTGCATAGGAGGTGAGCTAGAGCACCCAATGCCCTCCCCCTCGCTGGCCAGCAAAAAACAGAGCACTGTGGAGTGCTCTGCTGCGGCGATGGGGTATATATAGGCGACTTATTTGTCCCGGTTCATGGCAGGAACCGGAACTAACCCCCCCCCCCCTTCTGTACCGGTTCTAGGAACGAACCGGTACCAATGGCTGTGGGCCAGGAGCGCGGCCCATTGGTCCCAGTTTGTGCCTAGAACCGGAACAAACGGATCCAGACGAACCGAGACCAATGCCCACGAGGCCCCGGCCGGCCCCCTGGGCTCACGAACCGGGTCTAATGCCCCCCATGGGTCCCGGTTCATAAAGAACCGGGACTAATGAGCTGGCCAGGCCTGAACCAAAGCCCTGTTTTCTACTAGTGGTTGCTCGCCGAAGAGAACAAGATCATGACAATGAACCGCAATGACATGGATGACCTCACCAAAGAATGGCATGATATGGCAAGAAGAGAAATCTTGAAGAGGAGAATGGTTGCGTCGGTCAGTGCATGTTACAGTGCCGGAGGTGTTTTCTCAGCGGAATTTGGAACCAATGTCGCCGATGCGTTCAGTGCACCAGCCGACGATTTCGGTGCGGGAGTTGGAACAAGCGCCGACGGTGGATTCGGTGGTTCCGATGAACTCCATGGACTCGATGGCGCGGAGTGAAGATCGATCAAGACGATGCTGGACGTGGTCGTCACTTTTGCAAGACCCTCTTTTGCGTTCGTCTTACAAAACTTAAGCTTTTATTTGCGCGCGAACTGTGTTCTATTGTTTGAATTTGAACTTATTTGTCGGAACCGATGTCAAATTCGATAATTGGGCGTCTTCGGTTTACAGATCGACGCGGCGGTGCCCGAGCAGACCCCGCATAGCCGAGCCGTGAAAGAGCATATTCACCGAATATCCTTTTTTACGGGTCCGTTTTGCGGGGTCTGAGTCTGACCTCGTCCGCGCCGGCCTGCATATACACTTTTCCGCGAACTGCAAAAGACTTATGCTGGTTGGGATTTTGCGGGGTCTGCTAGAGATGCTCTTACCAGTGTTAATTTCACATTGCTCGGCAGTTCTCCAATTCCATTTTTTTTGTTATGTTGGTCAAGTTGTTACAGCTTTTTTTTTATCTCAATCATTTTGTTTTGATCTTTCTGTATCGCGGTGGTGTTCACGGATCTGTTGACTATAGCGGTCGATTCTAGCGTGTAGTCAAATCTTGGAAGCACTACTCTAGAGCTGGCTAATTTTCTTCCGCTTTTCGAAGCGGTAAATTCCTAGCTTTGTAGATGAGTGCTTCCACGATTTGCTACTATTTGTTATACCTTGGGTGTGTTGCTGATTTCCAGGCTACTATTTGTTTTTTCCTTTCGTTGTGAGCACGTGGGTCCAAGCTTTGGTTGTCTTTCTAGCAGCTCTTTGTCAACCGAACCTCACCCCTCACGTCTTGTTGTTTTCTCAACAGATGTCAGTTGTTACCTCAAAAAAGAAAAGAGATGTCAGCTCCAAAGTTATGTGCTGATGACAAGTTGCAGGAGGTAGGATCTAATGATCTATGCCAACACAAAAAGACATACACTAAACAACTTAAACTGAAGTACCTCTACAATGTAGTACAGACGTTGGGGACATACACAAACTGTGCAGTTCTCACTGATTGCAGCTGCTGCATGCATATGTTTTGCATGATATCAATGAAACACATACATGCATGGCTAGATATGGACGAGAAAAATTACATAATGCTACACCATGTGCATTTGTTGCTAAAAATAAATACAATATGTAGTACACCTCATATTATCCAAGAATTTATTGAAAAACACAATGTGTATGTGAGATCATCATCTCATATGTTTTTTTCTTGAGACAAGGTTCATCATTGCAATAAAAATGGTTCATATGTAATTCACATAAAGTGAAGTTAAGGTCTCTTTGAGACTAGACGGGAGGGTAAACGCATCTTCATGCTTGTACATAAAATCCATTGTCCGGGCAAGATCGGTTGCCTTCTCTAGAAGCACCATTGGCTGTCTTTTGTGGAGGCATTCGCGGACTATGTCCATCCATGCTTCTTCAATTATCACCTTGAGCTTCTCATTGGCTTCTGCTACCGTTATCCCGTGCTCTTTTGTACAAGTTTGCACCGTGGATGTCACATGTTGTGATATTTGTTCACGCTACAAAAAGAAAAATATCACTATTAACTAGATGAGGTTTCATCATGTGCATGCATGGATGCATAGATATAAATGCTTTTGCATATATGGATTATGTAACTCTCCCAATTCTATAGTGCCTCTCATGCACGGGCGACCAAAGAGGTGATTTTTTTTCGAACCATGCAGGAGAACTGCATGTGACAATATAGAAGAAAAGAGATACAAAGTCTTAGAGTACGAAAGACGACCCAACAACAACAAAAAGGCAAAACACGGGCGACCAAAGAGGTGAAAATTGCTACACCAACATTGCCGCCACCATGCTCCCTCATTGCCGCCTCCGTGCTCCCTCATTGCCGCCACCACTGGCGGTTGTTGCAAAGACAACGAGGTAGTTGATCCCCTAGTTTTGGATCCTAGACAAAAGCGGCTCGTGTCCTTGCATGGGAGTTGACTGGCCGGATGGTGGTCATCTGGCATAGGGCCTCGATGGTGCACCTGGTAAAAAGCCACAATGTCGTCTTGATTGGGCAGCTCAACCACCACTTGTTGTGCAGATTTAGCGTAGCATCATTGATCTTGCATGTTCCAGAGTGGGATAGTCGCCACCTCTTGACTTGGGATTATGGACGGCCTGGTGTTGGGAAAGGCACACGATGGGGGTGGTTTCAGCGGTGTCTAGATGCTAGATGGTTGGTGCTTGCTTGTGGACAGTTGCTACAAGTGGTGAGTTGTTCATGGTGGGCGTTGGCTAGATCTGATCAGGTCTCCTGGGTGAAAGTGGCAATATAGATGCGGTTCGACGGGTTGAAAGGATGACAAATTCTGGTTGAAAACTTCTACCCGATGGGTGTCAGTGCCGACGAGTCTTTTCTACTCCATGGAGGCATCATTGAGAAATCATTTCTTTACCTCCACATGACCATTGCTGGTTGGATTTGAGGTGGTCGTGATGGCTATTGCATTTGGAATCCCCCTGCCTAGGGATTTTGCCAATGTGGCAGTTTGATAGGATCTAGATAGAAGTCTTGCCCCCGCAGGGGCACTAGGGCCAATAACAGTGGCATCCATAGATATTGCTTCCCTACTTTTAGGATCAACAAAAAGAGCTCCATTTACACCCTACTATTTGAGGCGGCTGTGTTTGCTAGTAGAATTCTGATTAAAGTTGTCGACTGGGGCATCATAGTGCTGGTCGAAAGTGCATTATATCCATAATGGTGTTTTGGTGTTGGTGACAATGGGGTTAGTGAGGACTACTGTCAGTTCTCCGGTTTATCTCAGTACATTGGCCTCTCGATGGTCGTCTACGGGTGAAGTTGACCCCCCTATTGCAAAAAGGAAAAAGACATCAGTTTTCCTTTCTTCCCCAAGAGGTATCCTTCTCCCCGCACTTGAGTTGAGTTGTTTTATCTCTCTTCCTCCATTTTTGAAAGATCAAAAGCTCCATTTACTCCTCATCCCTCCACCCAATCACTCTACTCATTTGAAGGAAAATAGAGAGGGTCGCCCGGTCTACACTTCCACCAAACCGATTTCTTATCCCCGTTGATTTCATTCAGAATTTGTTACTAGCTCTTGGAGCTTGGGATCCTAGGTGGTTAGAGGTTGGATTCCCACAGAAGCTTCCTTGCTTGTGGTGTGCTCTAGAGACGCATACAAAGGTGTGGTGGTCACCTTCAAGAACAACCCTGAGTGATTCGAGGCTCATCAGTTGGGGTGACTCAAAGAGAAAATGGTGACCCACTTGGTGGAGTTCCGGGGCCTTGGCACCAGCACCGCATGCTCCAATGGAGATTCACACTTCCCCAAAGAAGTGTGAACTTTGCGATAAAATATGTGTCACTAACTCACTTGTGGTTAATCATTTCCCGCACTTTACTTTGCTTTGTATGCTTGTAGGCTTACTAATGATATTGCTCAGAGCTAGCCAAATAGGCTGGCACAGCACGGCTAGGCCCAGCCCGCCGTAATCGTGCCTAGCACGACACGGCCTACATGGGCACGTTTAGTAAATAGGTCGTGCCATGTCGGCCCGCGTGCCGCGTCTCCAGGCCCAGGCACGACCTATTTGTTAATTGGGCTAGAACGCTGGCCGTTTAGCACGCTTAGCCCATGTGCAGTTTGGCCTAATGGGCTGTTTTGGGCCATTTTTCAGCCTATTAGGTTGTTTATATAGACCATATATATTTATATAATTCAGAAATAAAAAAATTAGCAGGCCATGTCGTGCCGACTCGCGTGTCCAGCCTCTAGGCCCAAGCATGGCCCCTGGCGTGTCGCATGCCAGGCATGACTCGTTTAGCCCGGGTCGTATTGTGCCCGCATGCTACCAGGCCGGCCCAGCTAGTACGACCGTTTGGTCAGCTTTGATATTGTTGCCAAGCTTACATTGCTTTGAGCTTGCTTTCCATATAGGTTGTGTTCATCTAGTGCATATCTAGAGAACCTACTTTATCCGTGTATTCCTAAAATTAGTAGTTAAGATTAAATTTGTAGTCTCCTATTCACCCCATCTAGTTGACTGTATCGATCCTTTCACAGGTGCTTCTAATGGATGATCATATTGTGTGCTTGTTGTGCTTATTTTTTTGGCTGTCACTATAGGCCTAGTTTTGTCAGTCGCTTCCTGATGTATAGGTTTTGCATAATTTTTTTGAGTCAATCTTTCCATGTAACATCTACGACCTAATTTCCCTCATAAACTGGACCAATCTTGGTTTTTGTTCATGGTGAATGAATTCCCCTCCAGTGAGGTTCCATAAGAAAATTTTATATTTATATATTAGTTCACAAGTGTTCGATTAAGTGATTACTAGATAACTTTAATTAGGACCGCGTTGGTATGAAAAATATATGTTTACAACATCAAAATTTTAATGAAGAGTTCGTACCTCATGTGACACCGTGTCATTGCCAATGCGCCCAATAATGCATACAGATCTGATAATTTTTGGATAGGTTAAAGCCCACTCAAGAACCTCTCTTGTAGTCACATCACCCAGCGAAATAAATACAAAGCTTATTATTTGCATACAAGCACTGCTGCGCACTGAAATTTGCAGATGCTCTTCAACACTAGTTGGTACGTAGTGTTCGTCACGCCATTTCACCTCAGCGTGATAGCATTTGGCCACATGGATTACCTAAACAATGTGACAGTTAAATGTTAAATATGGTATACAAATGGATAATGTTTTTCTCAAGGTGCCTTTATAGTTGCAGTCTATTGGGTAATAATGAAGCATAAATAATTTCCTTTTGAAATATAATCATATTCATTGTCAAATGCAACATCAAGAAAATTTTAGCACATAAACAACCTTAAAAGCATGCAATAACATTTGTTGAACTACACAATACATGCATCAAAGGATAGATATTTAGTATGAAACTCATAGATGGATTATACAATATGTTCTGTCTAAGAGAAAAAACTAAAGAATGATGATTTTTCACATTTTCCTCCAAACTTGCTACTTTTTTTCAATTTCACTAATATGCTCATGCCCCCACTAGCTTCCATTTGGAAACCACCAACCAATAAAATAATGATACCCAATTATTGGAGTGAGAAGCTCGGACAACTTATATTTGGATTTCCTATCCGACAAGAATCTCATATGTAACACATAGATGCTCTTGTTTATTACTTATATAAACTTGTATATTACTTCATTCACAAAAGAATTATATTACTTGATACAAAATCCCTGAATACTACTGTATTTACTTTTGTGGCACACATCAAGGTTCTTTTTTTTGGCTAATTTGGTGCAATCTTGAAAAACACTTACCAAATCTTTTACCAATTCAGCATTCTTATTTTTCTGATGCTTTAACTCTTCCTCGATATCATTTGTAGTGTTAAGTATGTTGATGTACAATGCCTTCAAGTTTGCTGGTAAATTCTCTGCAGCTTGTTCACCCCACCTGTAGTTTAGGAAAATGTGAGTTTAATATAAAAAACTATATGATGTTGAACTGAATGTTGCATATAATTTCTAATGACAAATATATCATGTAAACAAGGTTATGCAAATTTTATGGTAAAACTTAATTTATTTGGGACCCAGACGTTTAGATGGATAACTTGCACACATTGTTATAAGTGCAACTTTGGACAATATGTTGTTACCTTGATGCACTACATATGACCCAAAAATTCATATAGAAAAGTTGTATAATTAAGTATTGTTGAATCTTGATTGTAAATTGAGATAGATGTGAAGTAAAGATCAGGAACTGTGGCACCAAATGTTTTTGCGGAAAACTCTTGAGTAAAACAAATATTATGGCTATATCGCCAGTGTTTGCAAAATTACGGGAAGTCACAAATGAGTAGCTAACTCGTCATCTGCGGGTTATAAGAAGTATTTATTGGTGGCATGTAATAAACTTGAGTCAAGGACAATTGTTAGGGTTGTGTAGGAGAGTCTTTACTGATTTATAGGAATTCGCTATGGCAGGACACTGCTTCTCTTATCATAAGAATTCATGTCATGTATTGACAAATTTGGCTTATGTACATTGTTTGGTAGTAAAGGAGTAATCTGACTTGGCAGAAAATGCTACTGATCAAGAATTAACTGATTTATAGGAATTCACTATGGCAGGACGCTGCTTCTCTTATCATAAGAATTCATGTCATGTATTGACAAATTTGGCTTGTGTACATTGTTTGGTAGTAAAGGAGTAATCTGACTTGGAGGTATAATATTTCTAGTGACATTATTATAATACATATTTTTGGCAGAAAATGCTACTGATCAAATTAATTCCGAAAGAAAAATATACGTGTTCTACACAATTATAGCTTCTGAAAGAGAAATATATGTCTTCTACACAATTATAGCTATATATATCAAGTTGGTGAAAACAATTACATGTAGGATGTTTTTGCTAAAGCATTTTACAATCACAAGTTTTGTACGCACCATGCTGATTTTCCTGCTATTTTATCGTTAATGTGATTATGTACCAAAAATATACTTTAGCGGCCAACTGAATCAATACTTATTAACTTACCAAAGAAAACAAGATTTGTTTTGTAAGCAAAGACGTGGAGCGGTTGACGTGGTTTTAATATTAAAAAACAGATGGGAACATCGATAAAATGGAAAAAGGAGGTGGGGTGAGGAGAGGCAGCAAAAGAGGCAAACCTAAGATGAAATCTTACCTATTTTTTAAGTATTCTACCACCGTTCGGCCCAATCATTGCCAATATCAGAGTTTGATCCTTGCTTGGAAGGAACGCTATCTATATCCTCAACAAATGCAAGTCAAACATTGTTTTCGGAGAGCTGTTCATAAGGAGAAGACTTTCCTAGCTAAAGTTGTGTTGTTTTGCTTCAAAACTACAGGGTGTGCGCTCCGACTATCACCTAACGGTCTCTGCTTGCTGGGAACTAGAATAATTAAGAACAAAGTGGAGAGATTTACGTATGATAAGTATTCTGCATTTCATTGTCTTTGTGAAAGGTCGATAAAGACTACCCAAAAAAAATGTGAATGTACCTTTCCATGGCTGCGGTGAAGATGTTGCTTTCTTCTGTGGTGCTATAGTTGTCATAGAAGTCATCAAATAACGACACAAATACGAGCAGTTTTGTTAGCATTACACGTGAATAGGAATATTGCGGCTCATAGACAACTCCAAGTATCCAAAAGTGTAGCTCCACCATTCTGTCTCGTGCAAATTTTATATCCATTTGTGATTTGAAGCCTTTCCACCAACTGTAAATTAATAGTTAAATATGTATTAGCGCAAGTCATATATACTATGTAAATAGCAATTATCATGGTCACTTTTCTATTTAAATTATAGTTAATCTGCTTACATAGTAAGAGCTTTCAACTCCTCACAATAGAGTGTTTGCAAAATGTTGAAGTCAAACTTAGCAAACTCCAATATGTCTTCATCTCGTGTTGACTTCTTCTCATACACCGGGACATAACGTCTAGTTTCCACTCTCTCAACTCTCCTGAAACTAGGTGTCTCCAGTGTACACCGGACCTCTTCTGCCAACCACGGTTCTAGATGTTCTAACATGCATTGTAGACGGCTCTTGGTGAAAATAATAGCATCATCCAACACTTCTTCCCCACGAGTCCTAAGATAGGCCGCATTGTACAGTGCCAACAATGAGTTCACATCATTACTTGCAAAGTTTCCTCCATCATCTCTGAACTTCAGAAACACATCTGCAGTAAGTAGGTATGGCATATATTATGGCTTATATGTACACAGTATCTAATACTTGAATTGAAATAATGTAGTTGTGCGTATATGCAGGAATTAACCATTGTGATGATAATTATACCAGGAGAGACGTGGTACCCATGCTTCCTCAACAAATAGAACCGCGACGCGGTTATGTGGAGGTCGTCACCAAAGCCTTGTTCGTCACCTTGCATGCCACATAGTAACTCTTGGATCTCTTTGCCAAAGTGATAGGCCACGCCAGTCCGTTCCAGCATGTCGACAAGCTCCAGCTTCATAGGTAAATCAGAAGAAGATATGGCGGCCAAGATGATCTTTCTCACCCGCTCCTTCCTGATACTTGCCATGTCCTTCGTAGCCGAATACTGCAAGGCAGGAAAACTTATGTCATCTTGGACATTTGTTAGAGCCAACAGCTAAGAGTGCATGCTCGGGTTCAACAAGAGCATTTAAAAAAAAAGCTGAAAACATTCATACATGAACACATGGAAAACAATATATATGCCATCAAAAAAAAAGTCAAAGCTACTACATATTCGATAATATGGCGCAGCGACACAAAGTAAGGGAACTTCCTTTATTTGGAAAAAATGAGTAAAACGTATCCATAACTATACCTGTGATGGAGTGCATGGACTGTGGTTGAGGAAGAAGTCGCCCCAGAGGCTGGGGGTGTAAGGCCGAGGCTTGTGCAGGTCAGCAATAACAGGAGCAGCCATATGATCAACTGCTGGGAATGTGTTGCTGATGATGTGTGGTGCTCAAGTCAGGCCTGATACACTCCAAGATCAGTAAGCTTGCTTTGCTTGAAGAAGTGCGGTGCTACTACCTTGCATGTTATATAGACGGACGAAGGAGAGGTAGTAGGATCTACGCCACCATAGAAGACACAATAATCAGCGCGAAATTACTGCAGACGATGGATGGCGGACGAAAATCACACGACACTCTTGATCAACGGCTGTAGCTCACTGAACGAATAGCATGCATGGCTGCAATTCTGTGTCGGGCAGGAATCGGCCGCAAAAATGTCGTCCATCTAGACGGTCGTACTAGTAGTACACGGTACTATGTACGACTCTCACTGTCTGATTGCAGCAGCTGCGTGCATATGTATGATGCATTGCATGATATTGGTGTGCTAAATATGTATTTCGATGCGGAGACAAAGATATAGATCACGATAGATGACCTACAAGAGAGATCCAATCAGAATCTGTCACGACACTATTGGTTTGACAAGCCTTAATTAGGAGCATTTTATGCATGCGTATCAATCGAAAGGCTATTTCTATTTTCTCTGGGAAAATGCATGTCTGCACCGGGCAGCTTTCATTGGTCCTGTGGAGGTGGGACCCGCGATAGCACCAGATTTGTTTTCCACAGATACAAACGAGAGAGAATACATACCGTGCGGGTTCGTACGTCTATCTCCTAGCGTGTGGCTCGATGGCGGCGGACTGGTTCTGGTGCTAAGTGACCTAAGCGAGGCGACCATCGGCGGCCAAGATCGGTTGCGTGCCCCGGCAATTGTGAGCTATGCCAAGACTTTTGTGTGTCTCCCGGCACCTCTCCTCTGATTCATGTTTGTGGATTTTAACTAGCAAGATGCATGTGCATTGCGCGGAACATCAAGATGCTTTTTTTTACAGAACACATTGTTGTGATTGACCCATGCAGGAGTAATCTCATGTGTAAAAACTAATGATATCTCGAGAATTTTATCAGAAAAATGGCATCTCGAGAATTTCATCGAAAAAATGATATCTCGAGAAAGATGAGAGATAAGATGAGGAGGAGTGAAGTGTGGTGGTGAATGGTGGTCGGACTGGGCGGAGGCATGGGGATGAACGCCACCGGCAGCGGCCACCAAGCCAGATTGTTCCAGAGACTTTCTTTTTTAATTACTCGGCAATGAGGTTGTGGGAGATAAGGATGAACGAGGCAAGGCCTTATCTAGAGAAAGGTGCGGGTATCTTTTGTAAAATTGTCATAGTTTGCTTTCTACCCGTCAGATGTAGATCGGACGGTCTATATTACAAGATGGCAGGCACACCATCATCACCAATTCGGTTTGTTATAAAAGTAGAGATAGCTCTCCTATCTATCCGGAAATGATCTTCTATCTTTACTGTCTGTGTTTTTTACATATCTTTGGGTTATTTTTCAAATCATTGTGTCATTATCAATTCAGTGGTTACACCCCTGTGACTCTTTGTGCAAGTTGTTGCCGGATTGGATAGGAAAAGTGAAACAAAGCTACGAAGGAGAAAAATTAGCTCAAGAAGTTAAGAAGAGCGTTACTGAAGCGAGAAGAGGACAAAATGGTTGAGGCTTGTCCACTCACGGATTTCGATATGATCATGCATGGAGTGGACGGTGTCTCTGTACTTAGCGAGGTAACAGTCCGGCGGAACGATGAGGTATATCAGAAAACGAAACTATTATTTCCAAAATAACTTTTTTAAAGCACGGATATTTTTAGGTCATAATATATACGGAGTATATGCCATTCCTTTCACAGTATTTTGCACGCAATTGACTTGCATGGGGGTGTTCTCTGAGAAAATGCATGTGTGCACCAGGCAACTTTCATTGGTCCATGCGGAGGTGGAGCCGATAGCATCAGATTTGTTTTCCACATATACAAACGAGAGAGAATGCAAACCGCACGGGTTCGTACGTACGTCTATCTCGTAGCGTGTGGCTCCAAGACGGCGGACTGGTGACAGGTGACAGGTGACCTGAGCAAGGCGACCACCGGCGGCGAAGACGACAGCAGGGGATGTGGTGGAGGGCTTGTGCGCTCGCGGATTTCAAAACGTGATCGGGCCTGGAGTCCCTGGAGTCTCTGGTGCAGAACATGTTGGAATTATGTGTCCTGCAACTATATTCAAATTACTAGGAATTACTAATATTTGGAATACCTCATTATGGAATTGTACATGTATTTATACATGGAATTGATTTACATGTTTAGCATGGAATTGTTACTTGCTGGAATGTACTTAAGTGATATATGCTTAAGGAAGCTGGTCGATTATCAGTGGAATACAATATACTATTTATATTGGAAAGACTACCCGGGTACACTGATGATTGGAAGGAGCTAGATCGTATAGTTAGATTACAGCCCTAACGTTGATCTACGTAATTAGAGGAATTTACACTCTATTATGGCGCGTTGCTCACAAGCGCGTGCTCCGGGGACATAACGGGTAGAATCCGTTAACAGACAAATATGATCGTGGTTGGTAATTTGATCTGGACTCTATCCCGGAAACTAGTGGAAGAAAAACTAGGAATCTTATATCTGTATAAGAGGTGGACTCTTTGGAAAGACAGTATAAGAAGGTCCCTACCCCCTAGCCTCAGAGATGCGAATTGTGAGCGGCACCACGGATAAGCGCAGAGAAATTAGGGGGTAGATCGCAAACCCTACAATTCCCAACATTGGCATCTGAGCTAGGTTCACCGCCGCCGATGCTGATCGGCCATGCTCTCATGGTCTCTGTGCGGTGCGTGATTAAATCCGCTGCGTACTCTGCGCCGATCGTCTTCCGCGGTTGTCCGTTTCAATCTCCTCCCCATCACATCGATCTAACACAGGTCGAGAAAGAATATAATATCCGCTCCTAGTAGCTCGGTGATACGTGTTTATCAAACTCCCGTCGTCGTGCACACGATCGTGCAAGTACTGGCAGCGCCCTGACTACGCACTGAATTTTCTTCACGTGATGCTCTTTATGGTCACGATCCATCAATCCAATAGCACAGGTCTCGTGGAAGATTGCTTTATTGCTTTCTGAAGTCGCACACTGATCGAGGTCATCTAGTCCTAATGCTTCTGCCTTTGCACTTGGAACGAGGAAATCAAGGGGCAAGCCTAGCTCACGTGGAAGATCAAGAAAGATTGGAAAGGAAAGGACATGCAATTTTTAATTCACATGGATCAAGGAAAGAATTAAGTCAAGCCTAGCTTTGCTACGTACGGGCTGTCTAGGAATCAATCAGGTTAGCTTTGTATGTGCATTGCTGCCGACGCCTTGCTTTGGAATCTAGCTGACGACGGAACCCGTCGAGGAATCCTGCACCCACGGAACCCGGCGCCTTTTCGTCCATATAATCGGCGTGTCTTCTACCCTGATGAGGTTGCCGCTGCTACAAAATTTTCACTCGACGATTGGCAATCCGCACGAGCAACTGCTCAGAAAGTGCATTAGTTGAAGGAAGGAGAAGGATTTTGTTGTTGTTGTTTATTGGGCCTACCATCTGGCCAACTGCACGGCCAACCGGACGGCTGGAAGATCCACTTGCACCTGTACAGGCGTGCTACAAGGGAAGGGACGCTAATTACAAATCCAACTAGTATCTATTAATTAATTTATTATATTATATTATATTATATGTTGATTAACGGACTAACTTGTTTGATTCCTAATCTACTGCATGTACGTCATACAAGGAAAATAAGTCCACTCCTTGGAAGAACTTAAGGAGGACTCTGGGTTAAATGTGTGGATGCACTGCACGGAGCAAATGATTACATTGAAAATTTCTATGGTGGAAATATTGTCCGGAAAATTACACATAACCTGGAAAGGGATTTCGGAGAAGTGTCATTATTGAGCATCACTTATTCAAAGAGGAAGCTGGGGGTCACTTCAGGAAATTTGCTCTTCATTTATCGGTATGTCTGATGTTAATGTTTGCACTATATTTTTATTTGTGGCTATTTCTTTTAAAAATAGATGGAGTATGGTGTTTGTTTATATACATCATGTATATTGGAGTACAATAGCAATTTTATTGGCATGCAACAATTCCGAAGGGAAAACTAATGTACTTAGGAATTAATTGTGAATTTGATATACTTTGGATTGGAAATTATGCCATCAAACTCCTTTTGTGGAGGAAAACTATTATTGTTATAGGACAGGCTATTCAACTTCAGTGAGAAGGGATTTAATCTATTGCTCCATCTTGGAACCTATTGATTATGACATACTATTTGGAAAAGGGAGAGTGGAAATATTTCTCAATGGTTAAATTAGTGCATTATGATTTTCACACAATGGTCCATCTTTCTTGATGTCCATTGGAAGTTGGTAGACCAATTTTTTTTATTGGGCAAAGATTACTCCATATGGAGGAATATCGACAATGGGAACACATGCTTGGAATCTTATCATCTACACCATCAATGACTTGGTCACATATCTTGGAACTGGATCAAGAGGCTTATTGATTCTGGAATTTTAAACTTTAGTGGGAGGACTAATGATACATGTGAAGCATATATGTGTTTTTTTTAATACACCTTGTTTATTAAGGTGGAAGGAGATGAAAGGGCTTCACATCGTTTCCTTTTTATATACTTACGGTATTTCTTTGGACATCCCCACTAGAGGTCACATTGTTTATTTCATCTCACTCTTCCATGATTACACTTTTACATGGTTATGCTTATATTTTATTATACAAGTCGGAAGGTTTTATTGTGCTGGTCACATGTTATACTGAAGTGGAAAATCAGTTGATTAAATAATATCATAGTTTTGACAACCGATTGGTGGGGGAAGTACACTTCAGGAATATATCGTTTGTATGTAAAGAGCATGGAATTATTCACCATTGTTATATACCGTACACTCCACAATTGAACGGAGGAATTGACTGTCTTGTATACGAAAGAAGCATTGTGTACTGTCATTTGTTG